ACATATGATCACCAATCTTGCCCCACTTTAGGCCTCTGAAGACGACGATTAGTCGAAAAGTAAGGCCACTGATAATAAAGATTCACCGCAAAACCTCGTATTGGCATAGAATACACTGAAATAGCAATAAAGGGCAAAGGCTTAGTCTCAACGGTTTTGAGCAAGTTCAGTAAATTCATATATTTTCTAGAAACACGCTTAATCGAAAAAGAAAAGACGTGATTAAAGTTAGAAAGCTATAAATCCTCGGTGATCAAAAACACTGTCGAAGCATGAAAGGAAAAGGAAGAGAATTTCTTGCAAATTCTGGAATAAGGTCTGTGACATTATCTTAGACACGCTAAGAACAACACCTAACCAAACAATTCACATACCAAGTTGAGATTACCTTGATATTTACCCGAAGTACGGAGATGAAACTACAATTATTCACGTCAAATGCAAAAAACTATTGAACTTTATAAGAAATCATTGAGTTTCAATATTTTGCTAAGGAGAATAGAGCCTTTTTCAATGTTTCGAGGCGAGACAAAACCATATTGCACAACAAAGCGAAATAATTTTGCAAGATGAGGAAACAGCTGAGTCGATCGATTTAGGGAAATTTCCTTAGTTCTACCTCAAGTAAAACCAACTAATTAGAGAAAAAAGTATAGAAATTATACAAACAGACTTGTTCTCAACTTTTGACTAGCTCGACAATTTAGACTAACATCACAGATGAGGCTACACATACGAACAACAAAGGACAAGACTACGGTATATTCAGCGTTCGGTCTCAGTTCTTCGGACCCAACTTCTTCGACAATCCTATTTTCGTGTTGACTATTGCCTTGTTTATAATAGGTTTATATTATTTCGTGATGGTGATTATTATATACTGTGGCCAAAGCGGAGCTCCATTTCACGAGATAGAAATAATTCTTCAAAATAATTGGGACAAAATTGGACTTATATTTGACCTAGCTGCCGCTTGCGGCGCTTTGCCGAAGAGTGAAATGTAATTACTGAAACAAATAATTCTTAACCTTTGAAACTATCATATAGTTAAGGCATTAGGTGATGTTATCAAAGTTTCTTCTTGAATAGCATTAGGATTTTTCATAGCCTTCCAAATTATATATAATTCAAAAATTGAAGACTTTGCTCAAATATCTCAAGCAATGCGAATGCATAAGGATTTTACTGAAGAAACTACTTTTGAGTAGCAGCAAATGGACAAAAACATGTCCTAAATGGCAAAATCGAAATTGCTCATGCACATATGTTTATCCGATATAAATGAACATCATATCCCTCACAAAATTCTGATTTTCTACCTTTACCAGGTTTACCAGAAAAATGACACATTTTTCATATGAATGCAGGAAGGACCCAGCATAAAGTCCAATATTCTCACAGAACCGAGTGGTTGGATTTTTGCTATACATCCCCCTACTTATAGTTTGAATGAAATAAAGTCTTTCCTGCCACTCCTGACTCTACGCAATGGGATGGTAAACAACTACATGTTCATGACATCAGTCCGCATCATACCAATGAATCACAAGAGAAAAGAACGAATAGAACGAGAGAGGAGAACATCCTAGGCTATAGTGTGGACTTCCGCTAGCGATAAACATTTGCTTTTTCTTAAAATCGCTTGGCATATAAAAGGCGAGGAAAATTTTTAAAGATGAAGAGCGGTCGGGATGTTGGAAGCTATGATAGAATCAGAGCATCACTAAGAAGCTGGATTCAGCACAAAAATATCTGTGCTCACAAGATGAAGAAAGTGAGACGGAGGAAGTATGACGCTGACTTGCTCGCATAAAATTCACAAACGCAAACAAACGAAAAGTGACAACCAGAGGAGTGCATCATCATTTTTTGAGAAAACATATTTCTAGCCTAGCGTTCTCGGAAATTTTTGGATAAAGTGAAAAGTTATACACAACACTCTAGTTAGAGAAAAAGGTATACTCAACACCGAAAATGGTGGGTTTCAAATAGGCATGTGATGCGATAGTGGAATGAGTCATTTTGGGTTGGCATGCACGCTCAAAAGTTGGCTGTTTGAAGGCGATCATTCATAGCAGGTGAAGAAATGAAATATTGAGAAGAAAAGTAAGGTGTAGAAGAAGTGATATATGAGGATCATAAGTGATACAAACAATTAGCAATGGAATTATGAGAAACATAGAAAGAAGTGATTTCCTCGAGCGGAAAACCATGAATATGCAAAGAGTGAGGAGATAATGAAGAAAACATTAAAGAATAGAAAATATGATTGGCGAATAAGTGCTGCGAAAGAAAGAGACAAAAAAACGCCAAGTAGGAATGACAATTTGGTGCATCGATGTTCCAAGCTCATTTAACCGTGAACCTATTATTACTCAAAACTAGTAGTAAGTAGTGCTTATATTTGATACATTGGTGTTCAATAGCGATCAACGCTTCGATAAAATTTCACTGCGAAACAACCGTACCCAATATTTTTATGTAACAAACATTAGGTAGCAAATAGAATCAACGTCTCTTTATGTGCATTTACACAGAGAACAACCACAACAAATCAATGTAACGGCGGATAACAAGGAACAAGGCAGCCATACACAAATTGCAATCCCTGTCCACCTGTCGATTCTCATTTAGTTGGCCTGTGTGACCTCAACATTGACTCCAGGTTCAATGGAGATTGAGGTAATCTGACGCAGGAGATCAGCAGGTGTGTGCAGGTTAATCAGACGCTTATGGATACGCATCTGAACGGAAAAAAAATCTAGTGAAAAATCAAAAAGAAGTATAAGTTGAAAAAAAAAACGATACGTTTTCAATGAACAAACATCTTACCTGGAAACGATCCCATGTTTTGGATCCTTCTCCGCAAGGAGTTTTGCGAGTAGTGATGCGGAGTACCTTCGTTGGGAGGCGAATAGGGCCTTTCACAACGAGGTTCTCGTTTTTGGCACCCTCGATAAGTTGGGCGCACACTGCAAATTTGCACTGTTACTTCTGTCATAGTCATGATGTTCATACTTCAAGCTATACAAGTAACAACACTTAGTTTTCAATGCAGAACAAAAAATTCCGAAAAATGCAAACTAATCATGGAACACAGATTTTTCGAGGAAGACTAAACAAAAAATAAGTTTGCAACTACCGAGTGCATCTATTGAAGCCCACAACATGCAGTTTTCCGTTTGTACTTCTTTTTCTATGTCCTGTTCGTTCATTTTTTATTATATGTACACGAAGCGCATGATACACATGCCCATGCATTATCGTGCTGTGCTGATGGAAGCACATATTGAACGCTACACGAAAAATATATGCATTAGTATAGAACCATCGATTTAACATATTACATCCCAGAATTGAACACAAATTAATTATTAAAAGTGACTGCAAAAAAACTCGCGCCAATCAAATAAAGTCTGAAAAATGAGAAACAGTTGTTTGAGTTTAAAATCAGACTTATGTATTAAACTCCATTAAGAAATTACTAAAATAATAAACCAGTAGAATAAGAAGAACTCCACATTTTGGAGAATTAGTATACAACTAAAAATGTCCGATGGACCGGTTATAAACAAGAGGTAAGAGGATCGACAAAGTCGAAAAAGATTGAAATATTAAGAAGAATTAAGGCGCTGCTCATTTCTATCCTTCAAAGTTGTCTTTGCTGGAGGTAAACCAAAATGTTGCACCTCCAATTCAAAGATTTCCGCTATAACTTCACATTTCAGCTACTGACTCAAGAAAAGGATGAATTTATATTCTTTAGTTCCACCCAACTAGTCTATAGATTAAAATGAATTAGAAATCTAAAAAAAAACTAAAAGATCCTCAATAAAACTTCTTGAAATGTAAATTAGAACAATTCTAAACCTCACCTTTTTACAAATACATCGAAGCAAAAAAAAA